ATCTTTTTTGTTTTAACTTTAACATCATTTATCTCCTTTATTATGCATTTAAGATATAATATAAAAATTTTCATAAAAGGCATCATTATTGTTTGATACTCTCTAAAAATGAATTAGTCAAAAATGATTTAATAGTTATTAGTGGCTGCTTTTTCACTTGTACCATGGTTAACCATGGAATACTATGCATAGTATTCCATGGTTAACCATACAATACTATACATCATTTATCTCCTTTATTATGCATTTAAGATATAATATAAAAATTTTCATAAAAGGCATCATTATTGTTTGATACTCTCTAAAAATGAATTAGTCAAAAATGATTTAATAGTTATTAGTGGCTGCTTTTTCACTTGTACCATGGTTAACCATGGAATACTATGCATAGTATTCCATGGTTAACCATACCATGGTATCACTAAATTTAACAGCCAATTCTTATGTAAAATTGTCCCCTGAATCCGAAAATACAGTCAAAAATTATAAAAGTGGAGCAGTTTTTGAAATAAAGTCAATTACATATTAAATGGAAAATTAAATAAATAAACTATTAAATTAGTCATTTTTGACTAATTCATTTTTAGAGAGTAAAGATAAAAATAAATTTGAATAAAATCTGTTTTTTTTGACCTCCATCGATTCTTAAGTTTTGTCGATTAAAACCTTAACCACCCTGTATATATTCTAAAAATATATATTTTTTATTTATAATAAAACAACATTTTTAAGTGCCAATATCTTTTGGATAGCCAGTGCCAGTGCCAGTATCTTTTGGTAGCTCAGGCGGGCTTGCTTGGTGCCTAAGCACAATTAATTCATTAAAAACTGTTAGCGACCCCCTTAAAAAGCCATTGCGCCCCCATTGGGCCTTTGAAATAAATAAAAGATAAATAAAAGTTTTTAAATGTTAAGCTTTATGTTTTTTATAATTAACATGTTAAATATTTAAAGTTAATTTGCAATTTCCAGGTAAATTTATTTTAATTAAATCGGCGTTAAATATTTAATATGGTAATAATAATAAACTTTATTTTTAATTTATACATTCTAGGCTTGAATATAAATTATTTTATGATGTTGTAAAAGCGGTTCTTTAAATACGTTTTATATAGTATAAAAATAGTGAATATTTTATATTTTCATATAATAATTTTATATTTAAAGGTACCCATATTTTTTATCTACTTTATTTGTTTGTATATACTTTTGATACAATTTTCATTAGTTAAAATTTATTATTATTCTTAAATTATTTTTTTTAGCTGAGATTTTAAATTGTATATTACTACTTTTGTGTTGTTACAAAACATATTATATATTTTTTGGTTCAATAAATTCTAAGTCAGTATACTTTTCTTATTGAGCTTCTATTTTTTTATATACTTATTAGAATTAATTGTTGTTTAATGACTATGAAGTATGACACTTTTGTTTGATTGAAATAAACTTCTTTCAAACAATCCATTCTTAGGATTTGCAAAAAGAAATATTTAAATTATTAATTTTATAATGGATGTGTTTTAATATTCACATAATCCTATTGCATAATATTTTTTTTTTGCGAATTATTAGTATATTATTATACGAGAGATAATACAGGCTAATATTCACGAGCATGAGGTTTGCGTCTCGAGTCGCCAGGCGAGAGACCTAAATCATCCGAGTAAATAATGCACTTAATCTCTAGTGTAATACTATACTTTATCTACTTCAATAGGTAGATAATTAAATGATTTTTAAAAATAAATAAATAAAATCCAAATTAAAACCCGATTGGTTTAAATTGGTTAATTGCTGTACGCTTAATGTATAATCTTGGACCAAAAGATTCATGCACACCTGCTTTCAAAGAACACAAAATTCTCACTTTAACCTCGATATATATCTAAAACACGTAAATAACAACCTACCCAGTTTCCCTAAAAAACATGGTTTAAGCACAAGTCGGAGCTGAGAATTCCTTACCAATCCTCTACTCAACAGTTTGTGGATTATTGGGGCCCAAAACTTTACAATAAGTTACCTGAGAAAATAAAGTTATTAAAACACAAACTTTACGTTAAACATGTGAAAGATATACTCATTCAAGAAGCCTTCTATACCCTGGAAGAGTTTTTAAGTTATAATTTTACGTGATAGGTTTAAATTATGATTTATCCACCTAATGTTTAACTTTATACTTACTTTTATATGAGCTATTTTATTTGTTTTGCTCTAACTGTGATTCAATGTTTAATATTTTACTTACCTTTTATACTATAATAGTATTACTATTTATATACTATTTTATCTTTACATATACATTGTACATATGCTCTTTATACAACTTTATCTTTTGAGTGACCTGTTATGTATTTCTTTTGATAACAATAACAATTATTATTATTATTGCAATCGCCCAATCACTGATGTGTAACAACCTAAATAATGATTTTATTAATCCCGTAGTTAGGCAAAGGATCTATAATATTTATCATTGTGACTATATTTTATGATGGTAATTTTTAAGACCATGGGTTAGAATAGCGTTTGAATATTTTTTATTTTCTGTTTCTAAACAAAAAATCTTAATGTGTGGGTTGGTTGTTTTCTGCAGAACTAAGTCCAAAAATTAAAAAAAGATGTTCAAATTTGACATGTATATTTTTTGCTATGGCATTTAAATTTGAAACCCATTTATACAGGATGATTCACCTAACTTACTTCTCCTAGCGCGATGTGATCTATTTTTTTTATAATTTCAATATTTACAGAGATATTATAATTATAATGCTATAGCAGAAATGTGGAAAAACGCACATTCGTGTATATTGTCGCAAGTGTACTTTGCATGTTTTTTTATTTTATAACTGACAAATAATATGAACCTGTATAAATTGACACTCTTTTGGATATTTCTACACAAAGCATCTACATAACAAGACTAAACAATATGAAATGTCAAATATGAAATTTAAATCCATTTAAAGCACACTTATGACAATATACACATTTGAAGGGGTCAATGCAAGAAGTACCTTAGTCACAAATAGGTGATTCTGAGTTTATTTCTTTAAATGAAAAATATTTAAAGTAAAATTTCGTTTTAAATATGAGAAGAATATAAAAATATGTGAACAATATAAAAAAGATATATTTATGATATGATATTTACTGTAATTTATTGTTTTCAATTATTGTCTTCTTTTTCTTCTCCTAATTTTTTATTGTTTCACCAATAAAAAAAATATTTTTAATGTTTAACCAGGGTTACAATAGCTTACTTTGTTCATTTTTTCGAGCGTATATCTCAATTTCAAGTGAGTAAGGGACAACATTGTTTTATTTCACATTGCGCGTAACAAATAAATGCCACTAAATAATTATAAAATCGAGTAAGGGCCGGTTTTTCAATCATAGCTTAAACTTGGTTCAGCATTTGAACTTGGTTCAAACAAAATATGCCGTTTTTCAATCAGTTTAAGCTTGAATTTGGCTTAAACTAAATCAAAAGATGAACCGTCACTGTTTGCCGTTTAAACGAGGTTCAACTTGACATAACTTAATTTTTCTTTGCTTTATTGTGTATTACGTTGTTTATTTGTTTGGTGATCTGCTGTTATAATAAACCAATGGATATGTTTGAGGTAGTTAGTGAGGATGAGGAAATTGGCGAATTCCTAAATAATATTTAAGTTCGTGTGCACAGGCCACGGGTAAGACCGAATCATTTTGAAAAGTGGAATAATGAAACCTTTTGTACGTAGGATAGTGGATTTAATTAGACCAGTTATTGCAAATCCGACCAATAGGTTAGTTATAAAAATAATTACTGAATAGGTAATAGATTTTAGTAAAATTCATCACATGTAACAAAAAACGACAAATTCATTTTATACTACGAGTATAAAACGAAATAAATACCAATAATTCCTCCTTAAAAGAGGTAAAGTTGGCAGCACGATTTTTATTCATAATAAATAATAATTATTGTTCTTTAACAATAGTAAATTGTTTTAAAGCACCCTTTCGCACAAATTAAAACTTTTTAAAACAGCACAGATAAATAAAACTCGAAAAGTAAACACAAAATCCTTTTGTAAAAATGACTATAATAATAGTTAAACCTGTTTAACTATTATTAATGTAGGCGTATAATAAATTCGGTTTTACCAACTTAACGTTGACACCGCTGATCTAAGTTCAACAGAACCGCTGTTGAGTTGACATTGAAAAACTCATTTGACTGTGAACTGAGTTCATTAACTGATCTGACTGACCAATTTAAACCCTAATTGAAAAACCGGCCCTAAAAGACATTAAAAATCGTTTTTAATTTTTTGATTGGTAACGGTTTTTATCCGGATTTATTTAATATTTTGCATAAATAAAATAATTAAAGCAAGTATTAAAAAAATGTTGTGTTACACGGAGAGAAAAGTATATTACTGATTACCATAATTATAATACCCTTTACTATATTATATATTACTATTTGGGACAACTATCTTGTATATTGCCAGTTACTATGCATATTTAGTAATTTTTAAATATCCATGTATATTAAACCTTAAGGTTATTATTCTCAACCAATTTTGTTTTTAATTTTTATTATAATTAGATAGTAAATTTTAAAAATAAATATAATAGATACGTAACCCATAAGAAACTAAATAGTTTATTTTATTATTTTGTATAATACATTTAATTAAATCATATAGTAAATATTACTATTTGTAGATAGTAAAATCAATTTACTATACGAATATATTCAAAATTAAAATACGTATTATACATTTTTGATCTAATAATACTGGTGTTGTAATCTTTACTAAAATTGTATAATAAAAAATACTATTTCGTATTACAATCTTTATATTTTACTGACGAATATTTAATATTGTTAAACTAAAAATTTTTTAAAGTAATTTTTAATATATTTTTTTAACTATCTAAAATTTACTATACATTTCTCTCCGTGTACGATAAAAATACTACAGCTAATCTTTTAATTTCAGAAAAGACGTTCGTCTACCGGTTCAACTCCAAAGGGCCATGGCGGCCGAGGCAGAGGCATCTCGCGAAGCCCGTGCAAAAGTAATCGCCGCCGAGGGTGAACAGAAAGCCTCCAGGGCCCTCCGCGAGGCCTCCGAGGTGATAGGCGACTCTCCTGCCGCCCTCCAGCTACGCTACTTGCAGGTAATATTTCATACATTATCGCACGCATATCTCTTCTCCAGTTTTTTGGCATGTAGGTCTTTGAAGCTTATAGCTTGTAAGTTAAATCATCAATTAAGTGCATTTAGTACATTATTATTTTTTTTGTCATTACTTAATCTTAAATAATATTGATACTAACAAAAATATAACTGGGAATTTCTAAACCTAGGCATGCCATACAATACAAATAAGATGGGTTCTTTTATATATCGTCAAACAATAATAAAAAATAAAAAGGTACAATTTTTATTTCCTAACTAATAAAATATTTTTTTATATTTCTTACAAAAAATATATCATCATTTTGCTTTTTTTACGTAATACTTTTAAATAAATTAATAAATGATTCTTTGTTATATTCCCCATAAATATTTTACAAAGAAGCCTTTGGTCAAATAAATTTTATAAAATATAACTCTTTTCATATAGTGAATGACATTCACTGAATGTTAGAAGTAAGAAAAAGTATAAAATAAGCTAATAATTTTATTATTTAATAATAAAATTTAAAATTCTGGCACATATTTTTTTAAATCGTATTGCCTAGTTATAATTTAGAAATATTTGATTAATATACAAGAATAAAAAGTAACTTTTTGTTTTTTATTATTTTAAAATAAATAATAATTAATCTCCCTCACACACAAAAATTACATAGTAATTTATAACCCTTTAATTAATAAATACTATTAAACTGTATTTGTATTTAACACATGGTCTGGTCTGTATTATGCTATTTAAGATTATTTGCCGGATGTACAAAGCATAGGATTTGTAGGCTACCCATTAATACATTGTTATGTTATGTTATTATTACCTACAATTTTTAAATAAGTATTTAGGAATAAACCGTAAAAATTTGGATTAATCAAATCTTTCGTATAGGTAAAATGAGTGGATTTTGAATACTTACGTTATTCCTAAATTTTGAAGGCATAAGTACATAAGATAAGTTCAGCTTAAAATTTAATATATTTTTTGTCAAAGGAAAAGTGTAGCCAAAAATATACTAGATTTAAAAATTAGATTTTTAGAGTCTTAAATTCTTTAATTTACTTTTTTTTTCAATTATACAGGGTGTTATGTAATTAATGTTATATATTAAAATACTGAATACCTTTTGACATAAGGTGTAATGGAAAAATATTTTAAAAGATATTTTCCCAAAGATAAAGAAAATATATACATTAGAAGTTTTTTATATTTTTTGTGATACGCCACTGGTTACACACTTGTGTTCTGTGAGTACATAGAAACAAACCAACAAAGTAGCTGCGCGTTGCCAGTTGTAAAAAATTGTTACTAAAAAATTTTCTTGCATAAAATAAATAAATACAAAAGTTTTAAGCCCTTAAAGTTCTAATACCATTCTGTATTTATTTACTCATCCAGCTATTAACTTAAGCAATGATAAGAAAAATTAGTACCTATTTAAAAACTCCATAAAATTAATTTTTTCATCGGTTTTTTTCTTTTTGTTTACTCAGATGAAATTAGGACAAGTTCACAGGTTAATCGTTAAACATTCAATTTGTGTAAATAAATCCAAACGCCCAAAAGCACTTCCCTTAGTTAAGATATTTAGAATTTGAGCATATAACCTACAATTTTCTGACAGAATGTGTTACCAACCAACATAATAAATTAAACCAGATTAACTTAAAGTAAAGTAAATCATTACGAATTATGAATAAAGTTTAAGTCTGGTGTGTCTAAATTTAAATATATTTTTTATAAGTATGTTTTTAAATCACAATGTTAAAACGATTTTTAAAAAATCATTAGTTTACAAATTTTTACAAGGTCTAATTAGTGATCTAGCGATTTCAGGTTTTTATTTTTTTTCAAGTTTTTTCAGGTTTTTATTCTTTTATAAATATTTTGAAAGTTTGAAAATTTGTATTTTATTAGTAATAATAATAAGTAATTAGTGCGAAAGATTTTATGCTAAGGCGGGTCGGGCGCTCACACATATTCAATTAACAAATATGGTTTTGTGTTACGGGGAAGCGATGCAAAATGCTTGTCAAGCAAGAATTTTGTAGGTAGGTATATTCAAAATTATCACAACGCCAATCACGGGGTCGGGCTCAGGGACGTGAATTTGTGGCCCTTGAAGAACAAATTTTGGACGAAGTGGAAGCAAATCCGAGAATTAGTACAAGACGATTAACTGCCCAACTTTGACAAATGTCCAACTTTGTTACGTGGCGCACGATTCACGAAAATAGTTTGTACCCATATCACCTACAAAAAGTTCAAGCTCTTCAGGATGGAGATTATGCACTGCGGTTGGAATTTTGCCATTGGTATATACAGAAAAATCAAGGAGATGCTGATTGGAGCCATATTGTTTTGTATACCGATGAGGCCACATTTACGAGAGACGGGATTTGGGCAGCAACTCAGGAACTTAATTGTAAATAGTCCAGACATTTTTACGCGGGCGCGCGAAAGCATGCTTCGCAGAGTTTAAGCTTGCATTCTGAATAATGAAATCATTTTGAGCATCTTAAATAAGGTAATACATTTTTAATTTTACATTTGGCAACACTGCATTAAAAAGTAATAGGTAAGGTTAATCCGCGGTTCCTAGTCGATCAGTGGCGTACTTTTTGGTAGGATAAAGGTTATTATAAATTATTTTTAGTCTTTGGAATTTAGAAAAAAAAGTTTCTGTGTGTGCTTCTTTATGGACCCTAAGGAACTACCCATTTTAATATATAACATTAATTACATAACACCCTGTATAAATACGGCTACCTAATTTGATTTTTCTCAGACCATATAATATGGTATTGACTATATCCTAAAAAATGCTCTACTTTCATAACTTTTGACGATATTTTAGGATTCAGTGCACAATTTTACATAGGAATTGACTGTTAAATGTCCGGGATGCAAATTAATTTGGACTGCAGTTATTAGTGACTGCTTATTCGTTATGACAATTAGTCATTTTTGACTTTGATTTTAAAAAAAGGGGTCATCCATTAATAACGTGAGGTGTTTAGGGGGGAGGGGGTCGAGCCAAACCTCACCCAATCTCACGTTGGGGGAGGGTGGTCTCGGCAAATATCACTTAATTTTTTTTTTCGAAAGAAACAATGTAAAATTGCGAGAAAACGAGGGTTAAATTAAGAAAAAAATTGTAAGCAAATTGTTTTTTTAAATAAATCCAATGGAATCAAGCACGGATTAACTTATTTAAACTTACTTATTAAAACTATACATTTTAAAAAATCTCACGTGAGATTAAGGGAGGGGGGATGGGGTCGAGCAAAATCTCACGATATCTCACAAAGGGGAGGGGGTGAGGTCGAAAAATCGCCAAAATTGCCTCACGTAATTAATGGACGCCCCCAAATAGGTAATAAATATTAAAATAACTAGGTTTTCCTTGAAAATTTGTTGGGCCAATAAAACCTAACTATGCTTTGTGCATACAGCTATAAGTAATTTTATGTTGAATATCAAACATAAAGTAAAATTATTGATGCTTCATCTTATGCAGCGTACTCTCTTTATACTAATTTTCCGCTTAACATCTTCTACAAAACATGTTATTGAGCTATTTAGATAAAAAATTGCCTATCCATCATTATAATATATTTTAATAAAAATATTATTTATAAAAACTTTTATTGCCACATTTCTTTTTTCTAAATTATTTAAAAAAATTAACAGGTTAGTAAAAAGTTACAACTACAATATAATATAGTAAAATGTTAAATGCCCTTTGTCATTTAACAATAGAAGCAACAATAATACTGTAATTAAAGGACACAAACCTACAATGAAACTTCATTTGGGATGTTAAAATATAAAAAATGAAAAATTAAGCTGCGATTAAAAATGCGAATTTAATTTAGATTAATCTAAGATTAAATATTACAAAGTTAGTGGAACATTATCTAAAATTATTATTATCCAAAATTGTTTTTTTAATTGGGGGCTGTCTATATATTACGTAGGGGGGAAGGGAAAGGTGGGGGTCTTAAATTCTTACATGGGGTAGGAATATCTAACGTAAGTAGATTTTTGAAAACTTTTTTTTTTATATATTTATTATTTGTTTATCTACTCCTATTGCATATTATTGAGTTTTTTCCATAAACAGGGTGTCCCAGAAGTCGCGCACCACCTTAAAGGTGTATGATTTACAGACCCCAGTTATCCCAGAAAATTCTTTAAAAAAATATACGTTCGTTATTTAAAAATATTCAAGTAATACATATTTTTTTAAATGGCAATACTAATAAATAAATGGTAGTTTTTTCGTAATTATTATGAAAACAAACTACAATATTAAAAATAGTCAAATTCGTTACTTTAACTTAAGAGGTTATTTATTTTACGTCAGACTTGACAGAAGCAAATACAGGGAGTCCCTGCTAGGAACTAATAAAACCATATAATTAATCTATAAAGAAAAACTAAAGACATATTAACATTAAATTAACACACATGCTAAATGACTTGCATTTTTTAAGAATTCTTTAAACACAATATACATATGTATATACTGTGAGTAACTATTACTTACGAAAGGAATACATATTAATATTTAACAGAAATGCTGACTGAACATAATTTTGACAATCTTGACTATGATGTGATGTCAACAGATAACTTTAAGCCTGAGTTATAGATTGCCTTCCTTCCTTCCTTCCTTCCTCCCGTAGAAGATGAACATTACGTAATTGACACCATTAACATTTCCCGTGTAGGAATTTTTAATACTTTGTGCTAATATTTTGCAATTATAGTAATAAAAAAAATCAAAGGATAAAATATTTTCTTAACAAAATCATATTTTGAAGTTATTTTTATATTTTAAAGTATCAATAATTGTTAAGTTTAATTAAAATTAATAACGGGCAATGTAAATGGTGACAATTACGTCAAAAATGTTTATTTAAATTGTAGTGCCAGTTATAGATTCCCGTACCGTAAGGACGGCATTCCTTCCTCCCGTA